GGGAGAAGGTGGGATCGGACGCCGCCCGGGCGCCGGGCACCGACCGGGCAGCCTTCCTGGCAGAGCCGCTCCCCGGGACGGGCGCGGGCCTCAGCCGAGAGTAGAATAAAGAGGGGCGGCCGCCGCCGCTGCGCCAGGAGGATGGGAACTCCCCTGTCTCCAGCGCTGGAACAAACGGATGCACGTCCCGAATGGAGCAACCGCTGACTTCATTTGCTTGGAAAAATCGTCCAGAAGAACTCCTGTCTGGCTACTCTGAGTACTGGACGGGGTGTCCGTGACGTGGCAGGGGCAAAATAGACAACTGAAACCTCCCGTGTGAACTGCAAACTGTGACCTAGCAAGGGGAAGATGCTCTCTGTTTTAATTTCGTGCAAAGGGCTTCAAGCGTCTGTCTCGTCATAAAACTTACTTCTATGTCTTGTACCCAGTTCAGCAGAGACCAGAGGAGTCCTGCCTGGGGACCTGGTCATTATCCGCGAGCCCCGCCGCCAGCGGCCTGCCTGCGTGTGCCCACTTCCCCCTGGAACGGGTATTTGTTTGGGGCACTACAGTCTATCCTGTAGAACTATGACCAAATATCCATGGATGCTTTGCTAATTTCTGGGACTTCGCTCCTAGGACCTACATTTAAGGCTGGGATGTATTCCAAATGCATCTGAAGAAATGACATTTTAACCCATTTTTTAAGATACCTTGATTTTTTTTTTAAAAAAAGAATCCTGTAAAACAGCATTTGCTAGGCTTAAAAACATGACAGGTAAGAACTTTCTCTCTTTCTAGTCCCCGAACGCCCATCGTGGGAAAGGACGAAGAGGAGCGGGACCCGGGAGGAAGGAGAGCCCGGGGACGCGCGTGTCCTTCGGGGCTCGCAGGCGCTCGGCCCGGCGGCCGCTTTCGGGGGAGGCGCAGCCCTCGCTCCTGGACCACGGGGCCAGCGGCTGGGAAGCTTCTGGGGCGCGCGCGGGGAGGCGGCGCCGCGCTCCACCTGCCCTGCCCCGGACGCAGCCCGGGGGCGAGGCGTCGAGGGACCACCCCGATTCGATATTGGGATTTTTAATAAACCCAGCAATGGGATTTTAATTATTCCAAGCCCAGCTCCTCTGGGCCAGGCGCTGTCGGGATGGTCCTGGCCACACAATATTAAAGAGACCGATCACTAAGGGAGAGCGTCCGAGACGTCCGTGGCGATTACGAATGAGCCAGACTTGGTAGCACAGGGCATTGATTACTGGTGCCCAACCGGACCCTCCTCCCCTCTTCCTAGCCCCCCCGCCACCCCCCACCCCCACCCAAGGCAGGCTCCCGCGGCGGCCGGGACCTCGCGTCCCTGCATCGTGGCCCGGGCTGCATTTTTCATGAGCCCGGGGTGAACAGGTGCGAAGTGCGCTGGGAGCATCCGGCCGGCGGCCGGGCGCGGGGACATGGAGAGCGAGCGCGACATGTACCGCCAGTTCCAGGACTGGTGCCTCAGGACTTACGGGGACTCAGGCAAGACCAAGACGGTGACCCGTAAAAAATACGAGCGGATCGTCCAGCTCCTCAATGGCTCCGAGTCGAGCTCCACGGACAACGCCAAATTTAAATTCTGGGTCAAATCGAAGGGCTTCCAGTTGGGCCAGCCGGACGAGGTCCGCGGGGGAGGTGGCGGCGCCAAGCAAGTGCTCTACGTGCCTGTCAAGACCACGGTGAGTGACTCGCCTTCCTCTGTTATTTGTCTGCCGGAGCAGCCCGGCGGGGAGGGAGGAGGGGTGGGGGGAGAGGGGGAGCC